CTGAGATGCAGCTGTGACGAGGCAACACAGGTCGCAACATTGGAAGGCCCGTTCGCGCGCGCAGGTTGACCAACGCCCGGCATGTCAGCCATGCTGTAACTGCGCCATCTCAATGGATGCGGAGTATGTAAAATTGCAAGGTGAGTTTATGGAAGAAATGACCGTCGCGCAGTCCGCGTGACGTGGTAGCTTAAAATGGAAAATGCGAGCGCTTGACATGCCGCCAGGTGGTTACAAGATGTGCATATCTTTCAGGACAACGGTCTCTTGTCCATCCGGCAGGTTCATAAATTCTTAGCGAAGACCTGGATCCAGGCATACGCTAAGATTCAAAAAATGGGTGGGAATTGCGCGCAGTCACTCTTGTGCAGCGTTGCAGGTTTTAGGGGTGCATGCCTTGTGTTTAGGGAGTTGAGATGTATATCAACGTACCTCCTTGGTCATGTGAGGGAGTTTGGTCTAGTGGTATGATTCTCGCTTCGGGTGCGAGAGGTCGTGGGTTCGATTCCCGCAACTCCCCTATCGATGTGAACCTTTGTTGCCTGTCGTCGGGTAACTCGTGCTTTTCGGGTTTTCGGGATTCATGGACTTGGGTATGTTCATATCTGTGGGGCCAAATTGCAATGTCCTATCCTGCTCGGGGCTTTCGGGGGCACAGTATATTGCTGAGGACGTCGCAGTAATCGTTCACGGGTGAGTCTGGACTGGAAGCTGCGTCTTCTTATGTGTGAAATTAGATAAGTCTTAATAATCATTGTCATGATTGGGAGTTTGGTCTAGTGGTATGATTCTCGCTTTGGGTGCGAGAGGTCGCGGGTTCGATTCCCGCAACTCCCCTTTGTAAGCGGTGACATTAATGACGGTCATGCTTTTGGTGCCGGTTGCACGATCTTTTAGGGCTTTCCTACTTGCAATAATACGGACCGCTGGTCTGTAACATGGGTTTTGTAGTGCGCGGCATGCATGCTTGCCTGATCTGTCCTCCAAGCGCATGGTAAAATCTAGTGAAATCCTATGTGTATTTTGTTCACCGATGTGCTATTGTTGTTATTACTGTTGTTGTTTGTGAATGCTGCACTGCGCCGAAGGCAAAAGGAACGCACACCCATGCCAGACAGCACATGGCATCCAGTGCACAAGGCATTCATGCAGGAACCTGGGACATCATGGGGAACGGGGAAGACGCAAATACTCACGACCACCTCGACCACCGGGGAAAAGGGCTCCACCATTGGCGAGGGGCCCAGGGCCCCCAGCCACAATTAGACTGAGACGCATCAACGAACCTGAAAGCAATTCAGGGCATCAACTGGATGAGCCCTGCGTCCTAGAGGCCCATTGGCGCCCCTCTTATACCTCGCGCCAGCGCAAGCACTGCTGTCGTGGCTGCGCCACAAGGGCTTCGGGGTTCTTGTGTCAGGACTGCGCCTTGTAGCATCGCAGTTCGCGGATGATTATGCCCAGTTGTTGAGGGCGCTGTCGGAAGTAAATGCCTTCATGGAAGCGATGCATACTTTTGGTGCGGCATCGGGCCAACGCTTGAACCAAGCAAAATCGGAACTCCTCCCCATAGGCCAGCGGCGCAGGGGCCGGGAGCCCGCGCCCCAACTGGGTCCTGAGGGGAACGGCGTGAATGTGCACGATGAGCATGGTGCAATGGTGGGGGCTGCTGAAGCGGTAGAAGGCTTAAAAGTCGTGGAAGAGTGCAAGGCGCTGGGCGTAATCCATAGGAACGCGCCAGGTCGTGCGGCACGTCAACAACCCATGAACCTCGACTCGGCGATATCCAAGATGCGCCGCCTCGCGAGCATACCAATGTCGGCGCATGGTAGGGCTTTTGCGGCATCGGGGTATGCGCTTAGCACGCTCCTGTACCGGATGGAATTCGAGTGCCTCCCATCGATGGCAGAACTAACCCGTCTGCGTAAAGTGGTAGCGGCGTATGTTGACCGGGCGATGTCGCCAGCGGCCTTCAACGAAAATCCCCAAGCCAGGCTACCGGGAGTGAGCGCGGTCTGCATGTGCCTACCGCCGGCCCAAGGGGGCTTTGGGCTCCTGCCACTGGAGGAGCATGTGCGAGGCCGTCACGCGGTTTTAGCCGGCCGTTTCATTCTGGCGACATGTCCTGGCCTGTCACTTTTTACCCCTCCGTGGGCGGCAGTGGCCCTAGCGCTCCTACGGCGGGTGCATACCGCCGCACACCCGCTTTGCATTTTTTCGGCGCCGAGAGGGGGACAGGGCCCCCCTCGGCTCTTGAACCGATCAGTCCCGCAAGACTGCCCGGGACTAACCAGGATTGTGGGGGCTTTCAGCTATCTCCCCCCGGTGGTCGTGATTTCAGAGGAGCACATAGAACCGGGGCCGTGGGTAGTGAACGCCCCACTATGGGGCAACCCACTACTGAAGGCGGGCGTAGATCGAGGGGGTTTGGAGACAGACTTTGCGGATCTGTGCTCCCTCCCAGGCTTCACCTCGGTCGGGACCGCAGTCCGATGCAGGGCGGCGTTGAGCACGGTGTACGAGGCCATGCCACAAGACTCACAGGGCCGAGTTAACCCCTTGGTACGGTCCCGGTGCTCACGCGTTTTCTTTGAAGCGTGTGTTAGCGGTGTCTTGGCAATCAGAGACCTAGGGGGTGTTCCGCTGCCGTTACGCGAGGGCCTGACCGCAGCCAGGCGCATTAGGGAACTTTTAGAGCGCATTCCAACGGGATGGGTAGAGGCAGCCGTAGCAACGTTGGAAGACGCGAACGGGCTAGAGGCGGCGCCACCCGAGGAAGAATCGTGGGCAAGAATGGTGCAATGCTTAGGATGGAGAGTTGGAGAGACGGCATTGCCACTCGCCCAACTCTCCACGCGAGTGGCGACCTGGCTGCAGATGGATGGGGCAAGGGCGGAGTTACGTGCAAAGCACCAGGCTTTCGTGGGTGAGGCGATGGGCACGCCAGAACCCACGGAGCAGAGGGTAGCCAAGTGGGAGCCCACTTTTGCCCGCCTTTGGAAGGTGAAGTGGGAGAACAAGAATAAAGAACCGTATTGGCGTTTGGCGATGGACGGCTTTGCGGGCTTCCCCATGCACCGTGCGCAATTGGGAGGCCCAAATGTGGCGAGGTGCCCGTGCGGGGATACCATGTCGCAGGGCGACCGCATGCATCACTTTTGGGACTGCAGAGTAGCGCAACATTTGAGGTCGAAACTAGAGGGTGCGACCGGCGGCCACATCTCCCGATGTGAATGATGGCTGGCTGAGCCACCGGTAGGCATCGTAGGCAAGGTTTGGGACATTGTTGTGCTGGCGGCAATAGTAGCGCTGGAACGAGGGCGGCAGTTGCTTTACAAGTCCCGGGCAGCCGCGCCCGATCAAGGTTTTTGCGATCGAGTAGGGATTAGTATCGAAGCAGCTTTTTGGGAGCGCCTACGCTGTTTTGCGCTCGTTAGAGACGTCCGCGCGAACTGGGATGATGTCCCAAGCACCCACCCTTTCCTCCACACGGACGCGAACGGCCATATCCGTGCCAGGCTGCCACATTAGGCAGTGCCCTAGCACTAACCGCCGGTGGGTCCCATGGGACCAACCCTCCCTCAATGATGAGCGGACACGAGGGAGGGTGCTGGTCTGCAGTCGGCAGGCCCGTGAGGTTCTGAGTTGACTCAGAATGCGCCAGCGCAGGACCCTAGTGGTCCCTCATTGTAACTCTCGCATTCTAGAGTTCCTCAATGTTCGTTACATGTCTGGGAGTTTGGTGCATGGCCGATGGAGCTTCGCACATGGCAGACGGTGGCCGGTGTAAAAGGCCTGACATGCGCATGGGCCAGGTAAGTTCCAGAGTTGGACAGCCGTACGGCAGTCCCGCTTTTGTGGTTGTGGCTTCAGATTTGTTGGTGTAAAAGCCTTGCCCCCCTATGAACATCTTCGGGAGTTTGGTCTAGTGGTATGATTCTCGCTTAGGGTGCGAGAGGTCGTGGGTTCAATTCCCGCAACTCCCCAAATTCGTACTAGTGAGCTATTATTCAAAAGTACGATAAATTATGGGTCAAGCATTGGAATACACTGCACGTGACAAGGGCAAAAGGAAAGCACAACCAGGCCATACATGCTCCCACCCCTGCATGTAATGCAACTGCCACGTATCCAGTGCCGTATTACGTGCCGCCTGCCTTACATTCAGCCTTCCATCAGCCGAGCTACATGCGTTACACACATCAGTGAGCGGTGCTAATACAGTAAGGGATGCTACCTAGAGTGCCTGTCTTGGGTTCGTTAGATGAACACTCGCTGAGACCGCGGTGGTTCCCTGCCATCCCGCACCGCATCCATGGCGCACGGCCCACTGCAACAACCCCACACATCGTGACAGGGCCAGCACGGCCCACTGCAATAACCCCACACATCATGACACAAGATCAGGCAAACCCGGGCATTATCAATAAGGGGGAGTTGCGGGAATCGAACCCACGACCTCTCGCACCCGAAGCGAGAATCATACCACTAGACCAAACTCCCGGAGATGTGCGTAAGGGGACAAGGCTCTAAAACAGCAATCTAAAGCCACAACCACAACCCTAAAACCCTAAAACCCTAAACCCTAAAACCCTAACTCCAACTCTGGAACTTACCTGGCCCATGCGCATGTCAGGCCTTTTACACCGGCCACCGTCTGCCATGTGCGAAGCTCCATCGGCCATGCACCATGCACACATACGCCGGCATGCAGGCCTCCGTGGTGGCAGTAATGCCACTGACCAGCATCAAGTCTTCGAGTGCGACATGATGTGATTCGAGACCCCTGCAAGGGCTGTGATGGGTGCCTGGGGGGCCATGTACGACATGGCTCCTGCCTGCACTGATCACGTACTGCAGGTGATTTCGCTGCTGTGTACTGCAAGGTGCACAGCAGTGGTCCTACTCCACCGGATGCCGGTACTTCCGTACCCGAGCTGGCAGTCAATTGTTGCAGGCTTCTATATTTTTATGCGGTCCTTACGTTGTACATCGATCAATTCGCTATAGTCTAGGCGGTTAGGATACGAGATTCTCACTCTCGAGACCCGGGTTCGAGTCCCGGCAGCGAAATGTGTTTTGGATTGCTATGGGGTCTCCCGCTCGTTGTCGTATGTTGCTGGCCTGACCGGATTGCTATGGGGTCTCCCGCTCGTTGTCCTGTGTTGCTGGCCGGACCACCATGTACGCATGCTGGTCGCTGTGTGCTGGCGAGGCTTCTACCATATGCTTCCTTCCACCCCCCTGATGTGCCGTTTACCCCATATCTGTTCCTGCAGCATTGCACATACATCCTTGCTGAAGGGAGGCCTTGTCTGTGTCCACTCACCTGAATGATGCCTACCTAGTCCCTAGACCCAAGCCTTCATAGGCCTTCGGCCCACCTGGGCCCATAGGCCTATCTAGGCCATAGGCCTACCGAGGCCCTAGGCCTATCTAGGCCATAGGCCAACTTAGGCCATAGGCCTACCTCGGCCCTAGGCCCACCTCAGCCCTATGCCTACTTAGGCCCTAGGCCCACCTAGGCCTTAGGCTGCCCTTGACCTTATCCTCTAGGCCCGAGGCTGCCCGAGGCCTACCTAGGCCCTCGGCCCTAGGCGTGCTTAGGCCCTAGGCCGCCCTAGGCCTGACTAGGCCCTAGAGCCTAGGCAGACCTAACCCTAGGCCTACCTAGGCCCTAGGCCCCAGGCCCTAAGCCTTCCTAGGCCTTCGGCTCTAGGCCCTAGGCCCACCTAGGCCTTAGGCCTACCTAGGCCATCCTAGGTCTGCATAGGCACTACACCGCCCTAGGCCTGCATAGGCCCTAGGCCGCCCTATGCCTACTTAGGCACTAGGCCTGCCAGGGCCCTAAACCCTAGGCCCACCTAGGCCCTAGGCCCACCTAGGCCCTAGCCCTGCGCCCACCTAGGCCCTAGCCCCTTGGCCTACTTAGGCCCTTGGCCCTGGGTCCACCTAGGCCCTAAGCCCTAGGCCCACCTAGGATCTAGGCCTACCTAGGCCCTAGGCCTACCGAGGCCCTAGGCCCACCTAGGCCCTAGGCCTACCTAGGCCCTAGGCCTACCGAGGCTCTGGGCCTACCTAGGCCCTGGGCCTACCTAGGCCCTGGGCCTACCTAGGCCCTGGGCCTACCTAGGCCCTAGGCCCACCTAGGCCCTGGGCCTACCTAGGCCCTGGGCCTACCGAAGCCCTGGGCCTGCCAGGGCACTAGGCCTGCCAGGGCCCTAGGCCTACCGAGGCCCTAGGCCTACCGAGGCCTAAGGCCCTGGGCCTACTTGGGCCTAGCCCTACCTAGGACCTAGGTAGGGCTAGGCCCAAGTAGGCCCTAGACCCTTCAGGCCGGCGGTGTGCCAGTATCAGACACCTCTTGACGCCTTACGTGGGGTGGAACACCTCTATCCATTGTGTTATGTGTTGGAGTGGAGCTATGCAGCCTTTCGCCTTTTTTGCGTGGTTTACGTTGTGGGGATGTTAACGTGTTAGGTTCCCCTGGCGCATTGCTGTTTAGAAAGTTGTAGAAAGTACCGCCATGGTCTCGGCGGCCCGACAGCTTTGCTGCTCATCTTGTAACTCTTCCGCCCGAACCTCGCTCTTCCGGACTATTTATTTGTTCTGCACTGTTGGTCGACTCGCGTCTGCTGGGGGATGCTGGGGGATGGCACAATGTTGCTGTGTATGTGTACATGCTCGCCGTCAGTAAGGTCGCTGGGATCCAACATCGACATTCGTCCTTGAGCCGCAGCTTCAGTTCGGCTGGATTATGGCCGTCGCGTGGGTGGGTCGCCTCGTAGGCGACACTCACCTTTCCCCGCTCCGTCGTGTTTCGGGACGTGTGCCAGGTTGCGCTGCCCCCCCCCCCCCTTTTGGGCGTGTGCCAGGTTGCGCTGCACGCCCGCGCTGCCCACCCTTTTATACGCCGCAGGAGAAACCAAGTCCAGCCCGCAGCCCGTGCATCCGGGCAGCTCTGCAGACTGCAGCTCTGCACGCCTCATCAGCCACCGCAGATCGAGCCGTGAAGGTCTTCCACTCCCCTTGTAGTGCAGGGCGCCACCGGCAGCAGAAAAGTGTGCCGGGGCCGGGGCCGGTGTATGGACGCATCAGATACGTCGAGAAGGAGTCAAGAGACGGGTGTCACGGATCCGCCTAAGGCGCCCCAAGCCAACCAACCAAGTACAGTGACCGTCTTGCACCTGGGAGTTCGAGAAGACGCAGTAATGAGTCTGGTGCCGTTTTGTGCCATAATGAGGCACGACACGACAGGACACGGCTGCATCCGTCCGTCCGTCCCACATCCCCTCCAGTCCACATCCGCCAATTCCATGGGGGGCCCCGCCCCCAAACTTATTCATCACCATGTGGCGGCGAATGCGCACGAGTGGCGCCAGCCCCGACACACGGTGCACTGGCCGCGGTGCGACGGAAACCGCCCGCCCGGCCCCTCGCGAGGGAGGGAGGAGGTCACCCGAACTCGGATTTTTAAGGACGCGCGCGTGCCGGGCAAGGCAGCACCCTTTCCCCTCCCCCCAGTACGTCTCATTGAAAAGAGGACCGCCACCACCACCACCACCACCACTCAGAGTTGGGGCCCAACCCAGCCGCTGTCACCGCTCGCAGCGCCTCATTGCGCCCCCCACCCCTCATCCCTCACCCCGCCCCACAGCTGCCCCGCAGCTGCTCGGCAGCGGGTGGTCAACGACCGGTAGAGACCCACCCACCGACCGACCCACAACCGGGACCGCAAGCCGGGCGGCAAGCAGGCCAGCGAGCAGCGCACTTCAATCGTTGCATCATTCGAACCGCCGCGTCATCGTTCCCAGCCCAGGCGCCTGAGAGGCCCCTCAGGTGCTGTCGGACCTTGCGCCACGGCATCTCCTTGACTCCGACTGCGGCGTGGCGAGTAGCGGCGTGGCGTGGCGAGGTGCGCGGCCCGGACCCGACGTCCCTCCCTCACTGTCCCCCCGAAGCTGCGCCATCGCGCGTGCCGCGACGGCTGCCGCCCTGCGCCGCCGGCGACTGCGCCATGGGTCCGGGCCCGCCAGCGGAGCTGGCGCCCAACCCCGGCGGCGGGCCGCCCGAGGACTCCTCGCCGCCTCCCGCCGCGTCGTCACCGGGGCCGTCTGCAGGGAGGAATGGCGGCCCAGGGGGGGGGGCGCACGGGCGGGCTGTAGGCGTTAGGAACTTTGGATGCGTTTAAGATTTACACAAGAGGGGTGTAGACAGACGGGACCCAGGCGGGGAGTGATGAGCCCAAAAAGCCTCGTGGCCCCGACCCCACGGCTTTTGACGGTGACATGGGTGCGGAGGCGCTGGGCGCGGGCCTGCTGGCCGTGCGGCTGCCGCACCGGCTCCGTCTTCCTGCGCCTGGCAGCCTGCCTGGTGCCTGGCTGCCAGCAACACAGGCGCGCCCCCAGAGCCTCCCTCCTCCTCCCCACCACACCTGCACTTTCGAACAGCTGGAGGCTGCTGGACACTGTACCGTTCTCCCCTGCAACCCACCGTCCCTCCGCCCAACCCAACCCAACCCGACCCGACCCGACCCACCGGCAGCCCGGCGAGCTGGGGGCGTGTATGCCTGGTGCCCCCGCTTGACCTTGCGAGCTGGCACCTGCTGCTGCTGCTGCTGCTGAGACAGCTGCGAGCCGCCCCCGCCACCACCGGCCGCCGCGGCCCGGTCCTCCCAGGGCGCTCCCTGGATGGGACATGGAAGCATGGGACGGGGGAGCATGGGACGGGACGACGAGCGGCGGTGAGGCGAAGTGCCCAGGACGGACGGACGCGGACACCTGGTCAGCCCCAATTGCCAAACAGCGAAGCAGCACATTCCGGTAGAAAAAACACCTGAATCGCGCCATCAGTGGCCCGACGCACTGACCTAACCCACTGACCTCATCGTCGCGACGACGGCGCCAGCTGCCACCCCCCAGACCGGGCGGTGGGGTGGCCTCCCCGGATTCCACCAGGTCTCGGTCGTCGTGCATGAAGCCGCGGTCGCCGAACCGAGGCGCGGCCGGCGCCCCGGTATCGCCGTCGGCGCCGCCGCCACCGCCACCGCCGCCGCGGCCTCTCCCGCCGCCGCCGCCGCCCCGCTCGCCGCGGGAGCCACCTCCGCCGCCGCCGCGGCGGTGCTCTCCGCTTCCGCCGCTGGCCACCAGGACGGGCGACTGCCTGCGGAAGGGGGTGGTGGATCGCGCGAGTTGGGCGGCAGACGAGTCCCCACACCCTCCCCGCCCAAGAGTCCCCAAGAGCCAGAGAACGATCCAGTCCGACGCGAGGCGAAGCGGACCGACGCGAGGCGACCCGCCTCGAAGCGGAGACCCGTCGGGACCGAGTGTCCGCTGAAAGAGGGCACCGGGCCAATGAAAAGAAAGGCCAGCGGGCATCAGCTGTGGATGGCCGTGGGGTGATGCAGGTTCTCGGCCCTGCCGGACAAGCCTTACCCTCCACCTGACCCGGCCTGTGGGAGGTCGCAACGCCCCACTCCTGTCCCCCATCCCACGTGCCTGCCGCGTCCGCGACTCCGGCCGCACCAGAAGCCCAACCCAAAAGTCATCCCCCTAGAGCCAAAGTCGGGCAGCGGGCGGCGGCCGCTCCGCTGCCAGACGAGGTACCATACGGGGTACGACACGAACCCAGTCGGCCGCCCAGTAGCCCCCACCTGTCCGCCGCGCCGCCACTGCCGCCGTGCCCACCATCCCGCCGGCCGCGGCCACCACCTCCTCCTCCTCCTCCACCTCCTCCAGTGGAACCCGCATCATTGTCTCGATCCCGCTCCCGCTCCCGCTCACGCTCCCTGTCACGCTCCCGATCACGCTCCCGGCCGCCGCCGCCGCCGCGCTGCTGCTCTCGCCCCTGCCCGCGCCGGCCGCCGCCGCCGCCACCGGCGGTCGCCGTCTGCGGCTCCCGCTCCCTCTCCCGCTGCTGCGGCTTCCTCTCCCGCTCCCGCTGCTGTTGCTGTTGGCCCTGCGGCAGTCCCTGCAGTGCGCCCTGCACCGCCCTGTGCAGCTGCCGCTGGGCGGTCTGCAGCGCCGCCATAGGGCCTCCGGAGCCCTGGCCCTGAGCCACCGGGGCTCCCGCGG